CATAAGCCAGTGGCTGTCCCAGGATTACAAAATAAGAAATACCCAGTTCTTTCCCTTGAAGGGCTCATGATCTTCCCATCCCAGGATCCCTCTCTGAATGCCTTGCTAATGAAACCTGTATCATTTTCTTGTTGGTATTCTTAGTAGTCCTCACTATTAAGTGTTTAATAAATATTGATGAGTAAGGAGGAGGCTGAGGAAATGAAAATACTAGCCCAGCCCCTTCTCTATCTCCAGAGGAAGTGGAAAGCTTATTTCTGGATGGTGAGCATTCAGTACACAGGGTGGGCCCTGCTGGGACCAGCCTTATCCAACTTCAGAGGCAAACTCACAACCATTGCTGGGGTCCTCTTCTTCCTCATTGGGGAAGAGGTCATCCAAGGAATCCTTGGTAGCATCTCCTTCTTTGTCCTCCTAAAAAGGAAGAAGCAGCATGACCTCTTCATGGGTCCCTCTAAGTCATAAAATCTCTGACAGATGGGGCTTAGGAAAAGAGCCTTATTCCTGCCTCTGCCCTAAGGAAAGGCCATCATCTGGCCAAGTCAAGCTCAGGCTTCTCTTCCTTCCCTCCCTTCCCATTCAGAAACCACCTTACCCTAAACTACCTTCCCTCTCCAGCCCCTCCCTCTCTCCTGCCCAACTATTGTAATTATAGCCCCAGTGCTGATCCCTCTATGTTTACATTAATTACACGTCTGCCATGTCTCTCCTGAGGGGAAGGAGTGTTTCTGACCTTGACACGTACCCAAAGTGTCTGGCACTTCTGCCCATCATCTGGCACTGCTTACTCTGGACTTAGAGCCAGACCCTCATATATCACCTATTTCCACACTGGAGAAATTTGCTTTTTCCTATTAGGAACTGCAGTTTAATACAAAGATCTCTAGTCCTCCTACCAACTTCACCAATGTGCCCTGTGAAAATCATCTCATTTTCTCTGAGGCAGACCAGCTCTCCATCTCTGAACTCTTCTTACCTGTGACACCCTCTGTCCTGTCTAAAAAGCTCCTCCTTCTCTTTTGTCATCCTTCAAAATTCATCCCAACTCCTAACATTCCAATAAGCATTCCAAACCTGTACCCTGCTTCCTCTGTGAATCACTCTCAGACCATTCCAGACCTAGGGACCTATCTTCTTTGAATTTCCCTTACACTGACTAAACCACTCATCCAGAATGAGCACCTGCTGCTTTGGATTATCATGGATGTGTTCTCCTGTGTAAGCCTTGTTCCCTAAAGAAACATTATAAACTCAAGAAGGAACTCTCATAGTTCTTTACTTCTCTTCTATGTATGTCTTCTTGCACTGCATAAAGCACAGAAATACCTAATGCCTGTTCAGTAAGGATTGAATTTCATACATTTTGAGAGCAAATTTTAAGAGGGTCTTGCTCAACTGAGAGGATTCAGGATTTGAATTATCCAGCTGTTTGTCTTTCTCCTATCACAAATATACCCATGAGAGCAGGAATGTCTGCTCCATTCATGAGTAGAGTACATAGTACCTGGAGCATAGTAGGCATTTAATTAAATATTGATTGAATAAAAATTGTTTCCTCTTCTTCTTGTTACCTAGAGTTGGTGTCAGGACTGAAAAAGGAATTATTCCAAGTAGGGACAGCTTGGCCATCAATCCTGGCCTCCAGGGATGACGGAGCAATTGCCTCCTGATTGTGCCCAGATACTAGCTTCTAGCCAATCCTGCCTGTGCAAACTCACCGTTGTGTGTCCATCCTCATCATACTGCCGCAGCTGTCTCAGGAACTCCAGGTGCTTCTTTTCCTCCTCCAGCTGAGCCACTGCCTGTTCACTACGCTGTAGCCGCTGCTGGGTGCCTGCCAGCTCATCCCGGAGCCACTGGTTCTCTTGGCACAGCCGCCGTACCTGAGCCCGTAACTTTTGCTTCTCTGACTCCACTGTGCTCAGATGGCTGGCAAGAGCCAGCATGACCTAGGTGGGTACATCCTAGATGTACATTCCAGATTCTGGGTGGCAGCAATCAGGGACAGGCAAGAGGGAAGCCTCCTGGGAGGTGGCAAGTGGCAGCAGCACAGAGGAGCAATGGATAGAAGTAGGTAGCAATGGCTTTACCTTGAAAATATACCCTGAACTAATTTCTCACAACCTCCATTATCATTACCCTAGGCCACACCACCAGCTCCCACCCAGATTACAACAACCTCCTTAAAGGCCTCCCTGTTTCTACCCTTTCCCTTAGAGTGTGTTCTCAACCTAGCAGTCAGATGATGTCAAGTTAGACTTTTTAAAACGTTTCAACAGTTTTCATCTCTTGAAGTTAAAGTCTGCAAGTGCCACATGATCTGTCCTCCTCTCCCCTCTTCCATTACTCTTCAGATTTAATTTTTTATTTGCTTTTCCTTCATTCACTCTACTGTAGCCACGCTGGCCCCTTGCTGTTAACTGAAATCATCAGGCAGGTTCCAGCTCAGGGCCTTTGCACTCACAGTTCTCTCTACTTAGGACACTCTTTCCCTATTTCTTGCATGACTGGTTTCCTCACCTTCAGATCTTTGCTGAAATATTATGTTTTCAATGAGGTCTTTTTTAGCCATCCTACCTAAAATTGTACTCTCTCTCCACACTTCCTAGTTCCCTTCCCTTCATTATTTTTATCTTTTTATCCTTAATTATCACTTTGACAACACTGAATCATTTACTTATTTATTTGTGTACTGTTCATCTTTCCCAGCTAGAATGACAGCTCCAAGATGGCAAAGATTTTTTTTACTGCTGTCTTTAGTGATATATGCCAGTTCCCAGAAGAGTTTCTGGCACATAGTAGGGGCTTTAATAGATAATTAAATAATTATTATGAATAATTATTATAATAATTATGTATGAATGAATGCAAATGTCCAGGACAAGATGATCCTAAGTGACCCCAAACCTCCAATCAGACAATTGCCCCTCCTTGTACTATGGACTCCTTGGCACCACCCCTGTCCTCTCACCTGGGCCTCACTCAGCCCTAGCTCGATGTTTTCCATAGAGCGACGCAGTTGCCGGGCCTTTTCATGCACCAGCCCTTCCTCATGGCCTCCCTGCTGTAGACACTCAATAGTTTGGGACAGGCTTTGCAGCACAGCCTGGTGTTCACTGTGTAGGGCCTCCAGTCCTTGGCTCACCAGCCGGGTGCTTCCCAGGATCTCCTCTTGGCTAAGGCGGTGCCCTGTAGGCTCATCCCGCTGCCCCAACACCAGGCCCGACATCCTGGCCAGGGGTAGCTCGCCTGGGCTAGAGAGAAACAACAGAGTTCAAGTAGGGTAAAAATGAGACAGGGGCTGAGGTCAGAACATGGTGCAGATTTGAGCGAGCGAAGGAACAAGAGTATGTGGCTCAGCTGGAGAGAGTAATCAGTAGGGAGGCAGCCTATACCACTAAACACATAACTAAGATGAGGGAGAGGAAGTGATTTAAATGAAGAAAGTCTATAGAAGGAACAAAGGTGCTAAGAACTAGCAGAGGGATCTAGGACTTGGGAATAAAGCAAACCAAATAGGAATTGGGGAGAGAGCTTAGCTTAGGAAAAGGGAAAGGGATGAGGGACAGCTCTACAGGGATCAGAGAAGGTACTTGAGAAAGCTGAAAGAGAATAGGGTTAAAGTAGGCAGGAGATATATAGAAAATAAAGCAGAGGCTTCCAAGAAAGGGAAGGAATAGGTTTCAAAGTTAAATTATGAGAGGGAAAAGAAGAAAGCAAGAGCCTTTCTCACAGGATTCAGTAGGTTACACATCTTTAGGCTACATCACCCACAGAACTAGACCAGCATCTCCAAATCGGGTCAGCCTGTCTCTTTCCACTAATCTTCAGCCCATACTTCCCAACACCCTAGGATTAGGCTGTCTACCTACTTCCTCAAAGGTTCTAGTTTTTCATCTCTGAAGTCCTCTTACCTGTGAGCAGAGCTCTTGGCGCCACCACTCAGGCCTGAGCCGGAAGAAACTCTGCTCAGCAGCTAGGGATTCAGAAGGATCTGCCCTGCCCAAAGTCCAGAAGTCCGGCAGTCCCACCCCTCCTCTTACCACTTCAGTCACTCAGAACCTGGCACAGAGCCCCATCCAGGACAAACACCCTACCTCCCTCTGCCTTCAGGTCTTCAAAGACGACCAATGGCCCTCCTCCTTCTCCAACTCAGGCCTGGGGAGCTATTTTCTCCCAAGAAGGGAAATTTGATTTAATCAGCGACCTCAGGCAAAGGGTGTGTCTAGGACAGCGTGAAGACGGAGACCTGGTCACTCCTAGCCCAGTTAATTCCATGGCTTTGTCTGTCTAGAGCACCTCTTAACAGGCTCTGAGGGGAATCACCTTAGGATGCTTCCTAAGTGTCTGATGGTGCAGGGAAGAATGAGAGGTCTGTTGAGCAGCTGCAGGGTCACAGGGAATTGCGACGCTGAGAGTTGGTCTCCAGGACCTGGGGTGGCGGTTCAGGAGTGTGTAGAATTGCGGACCTGCCCTGAGGCCCAGAGCGGGGATAGAGTGAGACAGGAGGGGGCCGCAGGGAAGGAGGTGTGGGTGGACGACCGAGGTTCCTGTCGCGGGCGAGGACCTGACAGCCAGGTAATCCCGAGGTCACTCACTCGGTCGCGCAGGGGGCGGGGCAGACTGTCGGTCTGTCCGTCGGAACGCCGATGGGCGGGGAAGAATGGGGGCGGAGTTTTTAAGTCGAGAGTTTTGTGAGGTTGGTCGGAAGAGAGTTGTTCATCTGTCCGAGAATGAGGGAATAAAAGGTGACGGTGACCTTAGCCTTCAGCCCTAGGGGTACCCTGAAAGACTCACCTGCACCCTGTTGGTCTGGCGCCGCCTTTGCCGGTACTGCCCCTTTAAATTAATCATGGCTGCCGCTTGAGGCAATTGTTTTGACGGCTCTGGGGGCGGGGCCGAGTCCTCAGTCATGCGACCTTAGAACCGCCAGACGATTGGCTCTGACCTCGCTGGAGGAGGAAAGGTAGCCCTTCTGCAATTCTAGCCCGCCTCCTTTTACGTTATTGGAAGGCGACGGTGCCAGGAGCAGAACGTCATCTGGCTGCGCCAAGTAGCCTGACTAAAGGTAAAGGTAGCGTGCTGAACCCAGGGGGTCCGAGCCACCCCCATGGCCCTGTGGACACTGACTCGTGCTCTGGGCTCTCTCAGTCTGGCGCCCCCGGCCGTTACCGTCCCCGGCACGAGTCTACTCCCTGCTGCGCAGGTAATCTGCCTTACCCGGGAAGGAGGCTGTTTCGATTTGGTCTGTGGGAGAGAGGACTGCTAGGTAGGAATGGGAGGCGGAGGATGCGGGCAAGTCCAGTCAGGAGTAAAGCAGTCCCGTGATCTCTGCCTTAGCTCTCTCCTTTATAAATGTTGCTGCATCATATGACGAGATTCTTCAGAAGAGATATTGGGGTGCAAGCTCTTTTGCAGATCACCAGTTGTTCAGAATGTCTACGATAAGCGAGACATAATAGCCATTTCAAGTAAATTAACTCCTTTCAGCCACTCAAAATGGTTAACATCATTTTCATTTTACAGATGAGAAAGCTGACAAGCAGTCCAAAGTCACATACCAACTATTGGAGCTAGGCAGTCTGAATTCAGAGCCTCTGTTTTTGTTTTGTTCTGTTTTGCTTTTTTGGCTTTGTGCTGAGGATTGAACTCTGGGCCTTTGTGCTGAGGATTGAACTCTAGACATGCTGCACTCTCAGCCTTATTATAATTATAATTATCATTATTTTGTTATTGGGGATTGATCCCAGGAGTGCTTTACCTCTGAGTTACATCCCCAATGATTTTTTTTTTTTTTTTGAGACAAGGTCTAAGTTGTTGAGAATGGCCTCAAATTTGTAGTCCTCCTCCCTCAACCTCCTAAGTAGCTGATATTAGAGGCATGTGCTACCACACAGGCTGAGCCTGTGCTCTCAATCAGTATGATACCTACAAGAATGAGTTATTGGGCTGGGGTTGTGGCTCAGTGGCAGAGCATTTGCCTAGCATGTGTGAGGCACTGAGTTCGATCCTCAGCACCACATATAAATAAATAAATAATAAAGGTACATCAACAACTAAAAAAGAATATTTAAAAAATGAGTTATTGCTGAGATTAGAGAATGCTGGGCAAAAAACCAAGAATACTAGTCTCAGGAGAAGGTCTGAGGTCTCGAGTGGGCAACTGTTAGGCCACAAAAAAAAAAAGGAAATTGTCAGTTTTTTTCCTTTGGTGTTCTCAGGCTGATAATGGTACATTTTGGCAGATGAACATTTAAAGTTAAAAACCAAATCAACCTACTCTGTGAAATATAGGGAATACACAAGGAACAAGACAGAAATGATCCCTTGCCTCCATTCATATATGGGAAACTCCCTGAAACATAAGGCAGAGGGCAAAAAGCATTAATGCTGATGGTTATATGGATATGTGGAAATTACCAGCGGTGGAAAAGAGTTGTTTAGGGAAGGAAAACTTCTTGAAGATAGAGATTTTTAGCCAGATTTTAAAGATGACCAAGGGGAGAATATTCCACTGAAGAAATACTTACAGGTGAGACAATCAAATGAGGAGAGGTAATCAACCCATATACATCTGGATAAACATTCTGTACTGATGTTTGTGCAAGCAGTAAAGGGTGGAAATTTTGGACATCTGGTGTGGGACACTTCCAGAAAGAAATGGACTACAAGCTAAAATCGGTCTGAGCCATCTTCAGTTTGCTTTCAAGTGAAGAGATTTCTTATTATCCCTAGGTGGTGAGCAATGCCCTCCTCCAACTGCCCTCTGCATTGATGTTGCTCCCCTGCCGCCCTATACTTACTTCTGGGGCCCTTCATGCCAAGTTTGTATCCTGGAAGAGTCATACTAAGTATACCATCGTACCAGTGAAAAAGAGGAAATCTGGGGGTCGAGACCACACAGGTGGGAGCAAGGGCTAGGACTCTAGACCTATGTATAGTAACACTTAGACCTTGTAAAGTGCAGAGGAATGTAATTCAAAAGCATTTATTGAGAGGCTCCTTCTTCATGTATTAGAGCCAGAGAGTGGAACACAAAGCAATAGACAACTGGCTATTCACAGGAAATGCCATGACATTCTTCATATTCTTCCAAAATTTATAACAGTTGAAATTATATGAGTACAATTTATGTTTTTGTAAACTTACTGAACTCAATGATTTGAAGTAAATTATCTAAAAATAATATACAATTTCAGTGATTACATAATTATATTTTTACCAAACTCTATATAGATGTTGCCCCAACCCCTTTACCCCAGTGAGCTGTGCAAATTTTTTATAATTTTCTTTCTTCTTCCTCCTTCCTTTTTTTTTTTTTTTTTTAAGTTTTTGGTAGTTGTAGTTGGAAAGAATGCCTTTATTCTATTTGTTTATTTGTATGTGGGCTGAGGATTGAACCTAGTGCCTCAGCAAGCACCCTGCCACTTAGCTACAGCCCCAGCCCTCCCTCCCTTTTTTTTAATGGCACTGGGGATTGAACCCAGGGGCATTCTACCACTGAGATACAACCCCAAACCTATTTGTTTATTTAGTTCAATCAGGTTAGAGACAGGGTCTCACTTGCTTAGTGCCTCGCTGTTGCTGAGGCTGACTTTGAACTCATGATCTTCCTGTCTCAGCCTCCCAAGCTGCTGGGATTATAGGCATGATCCCTGGCGCCCAGCCCAAACCTTTTTTTTTTTAACTGTAGTTGGACCTATACCTTTGTTTTATTTATTTATTTTTATTTTTATGTGGTGCTCAGGATCAAACCCAAGGCCTCACAGGTGCTAGGTGAGCACTCTACTGCTGAGCCACAACCTGAGACAGGGTCTTGTAGAACCCAGGCTGACCTTGACCTTTGGAATCTCCTTCCCAGTACCTGGGATTATAGGCATGTACCAATGTGCCCAGCCTTATCATTTCCTTTATGTGCCATAATGTTGGGAAGTACTACTCTCTGGCCAACATGCCTGTTCCCAGTGCTAGGTAGGAGCTGAACTAATTTGACTTGAACTGCATCCCCAAACTGTCTTGACCACAGGCCGAATCCGAGTACATGGTATTGGTGGGGGCCACAAGCAACTTTATCGCATGATTGACTTTCTGCGGTTCCGGCCAGAGCAGGAGACTAAGCCAGGACCCTTTGAGGAAAAGGTTATCAGAGTCCGCTATGATCCTTGTAGGCAAGTTTGGGATGAGGGACAATGATGGTGTGGTCTGAATGACTGCTGTGAAGTTTGTTATCAGATGATATCAGTCTTCCTTGATAGTCTTCTCCCTTGTCCACCAACAGGTCAGCAGACATAGCTCTGGTTGCTGGGGGCAGTCGGAAACGTTGGATCATTGCCACAGAGAACATGCAGGCTGGAGATATAATCCTGAACTCTAACCACATAGGCCGAATGGCAGGTGAGAGATGACTACTGGATGTATGGGCTGGAGGCTGCAAAGGTTCTAGGGCTGATAAAATTTTGTCTTTTAGTTGCTGCTCGTGAAGGGGATGCACATCCTCTTGGGGCTCTGCCTGTGGGGACTCTCATTAACAACGTGGAAAGTGAGCCAGGCCGAGGGGCCCAGTATATTCGAGCTGCAGGTATGGAGAAAGGAGCTACCTGAGTCTCACAGTTAGAAAGACCAAGGGGCATTTGATGTCACAATTCTCTGAACCCGTGGGCCACATCTGGTCTATTGTCAGAAGAACATGTACTTATAAAATACAGCATGCATCCTTCTTTTTTGTGTCTGTTCCTAAAAGCAAGGCAGGGGCAGCATGTGGGCTATGGCCCTTGGGTGACCCCCACACACACCTTTGTGAAGGGTGGCAAAGGTGCTTCTCCCTTCCCCAGGAACTTGTGGTGTGCTGCTGCGGAAGGTGAATGGAACAGCCATTATCCAGTTGCCCTCTAAGAGGCAGATGCAGGTATGTAAGTACAGGTGGGTGGGATCAGCACAGAAGGAATTTTTGGAATGTATCTTTTCCTGCCTGGGATTGCTCTCAGGTGTTTTATGATACTAGCAACTTCCTCTACCTGGGTCTGTCCTTTGCTGCATACCTAAGCATGCCTTGTCAGGTTGGCACCATAACGAAAGAAACATTGTCTTTTCAACTACCCAGTTTCTACTATAGCTCCCCTAAGGCCACCCTCTGCACTTAGGTTCTGCTGTATTATGCTTTCAACGTTGTGCGGTTCCTTTTCCTCAGTGATTCTCCTCCATCCACTTTGTCAGGTACTAGAAACGTGCACAGCAACAGTAGGCCGAGTATCCAATGTTGATCATAACAAACGGGTCATCGGCAAAGCCGGTCGGAACCGCTGGCTGGGCAAGAGGCCTTCCAGCGGGCTGTGGCACCGCAAGGGGGGGTGGGCTGGCCGAAAGATTCGGCCACTGCCCCCCATGAAGAGTTATGTGAAGCTGCCCTCCGCTGCTGCCCAAAGTTGATATCCCTGAATTCCAATAAAATGCGCCATTTTTATCTGTTCCTGGGTTTTCTTTTGGAGCGGGGAATGCAAACTGGACGTGGGTAAAAGAAGCACACAAGTATATGGGGGAAGAGAAAGGAAAGGGCAATATGGAGGAAGGAGACAAAAATGACCTCCAAAGTCTCTTCCAGTTCTGACTATGGGAAATGGGGAGGCACTTCCGGTGGCAGGAGCGAGGGCAAAAAGGAAGAGGAAAGGGCGGAGCAAAGGAGGAGGTGCCGCACATCGCCGAGGTGGCACCCACGGCTCCTCCCCAGCGTTCTCCCAGGGCCCCCAGCTTTCCGCTAGGTCCAGCGGAAATGAGCGGTGGCTCTGGGCGGACCACGGAGCCCCCTGAGCTGGGCGCAGGGTGCCACCGGCAGGGACCAGGCCCCGCCCTGCCCCAGCGGACACTGAAGACAGTGGCGCGACCCTGGGGCGCTGGGTCCTGCTGTGCCACGCCCCCTGTCTGTCCAGCGGAGGCACGCCCCCTCCCGCCCTGACCCCTTGGGGGGCCCAGGCGGGGCCCTAATCTGCGCCAGCGCCAGCGCCAGCGTCGCAGCCATCGTCTATGCCGCGTCCCTAGCTCTGCGAAGGACAGGCCTCGCGCAAGGACTCCGGTGGACTTCTGAGGTGGCCTGAGCCCTGCCGCGGCCCCCTGCCCCTATCCTGGACTTTCTCGCGCACCGACCTCTAGCTTATTCCATCTCGCGCCCCACTTTCCCTCGGTACCTTAGGATTCTTTATCGACCTTAGACCCCTCTCCCATCCTGTCGCGTGATCCGAGCTTCTTAGAACTTGGTCTGGTCGACCAAGCCTCACGCCCCTCACCCACCTGGTCTCCACTGTAGGGTGTCTGGGGCCTCGCAGCTCCCCAGCAGCCTTTCTTTTCCTATTGCTCCTATTGTAGGCTCGCTTAGCCCCTGACCCTCTCCTCACAGCCCACAGCGCCTTGCACTTATACTCCACCATCAGTTCTCTGCGTCTCTAGCCTCTGGGACTCACAACCCAGTGTTTCAGCCCTTAGAAATAGCACCCTTTTTCATACACACTCGGATTTCCCTTCCCAGTCCCCCAAACATACTTCTGGCTTCACACACACCCTTCTGAGAACCTTGGGATTCTGCTTGTAACTAAGAGGCACCCTGCCCCACTCATTCCATGCTGCAGGCCTTTGTGATCTTCCTTTTTTAATCCCTAAATTTTGATCTCTCGGGAACAAATACCCCAGTGTTCCTCTGCCTAGCTCTGGCCCCACCCAGCCTGCAGCAGGCTACGCCTGGGACCAGCTTTACCCCACCCAGCCCAACAGCTGTTGCCACATTTGTTTCCCCAACTCTTGGGAGGCCTTGATTTTTCTGACCTCCCCTCTCAGTTGAGCTTGCCTGTTCTCTTTTCCTTGTGTCTCAGGTGCCAGGATGGTGGGGGAACTCCGCTACAGGGAATTCAGGGTGCCCCTTGGGCCTGGCTTGCATGCCTATCCTGATGAGCTGATCCGCCAACGGGTGGGCCATGATGGGCACCCTGAGTACCAGATTCGCTGGCTGATCCTCAGGCGTGGAGATGATGGGGAAGGGGCCTCCAGCCAAGTGGACTGCAAAGCTGAGCACATCCTCCTATGGATGTCTGACGATGAAATCTATGCCAACTGCCACAAGATGCTGGGCGAGGATGGCCAGGTCATCGGGCCCTCCAGAGAGTCTGCAGAGGCTGGAGCCTTGGACAAAACTGTGCTAGGGGAGATGGAAACTGATGTGAAGTCCCTGATTCAGAGGGCCCTTCGGCAACTGGAGGAGTGTGTAGGCACCATGCCTCCTGCTCCTTTGCTTCATACTGTCCATGTGCTCAGCGCCTATGCTAGCATTGAGCCCCTCACTGGGGTCTTCAAAGACCCAAGGGTTTTAGACTTGCTCATGCACATGTTGAGTAGTCCTGATTATCAGGTTCGCTGGAGCGCAGGCCGGATGATACAAGCCCTATCCTCCCATGATGCTGGTGAGGGACAGTATGGGGAGGAAGGGAAAGCAGGAGAGGGGCTGGGTCGGCTCAGGGACTCACAGGACACTGTGGCGGGAGCCTCTGACCTCATCAGTACGTAAAAAAGATTCTGTTGCCCTTCTCATAAAAGTTTGAAAAAAAGGAGGGGGTTGGTGTAGGGTGGGGGCAGGGGCATCTCTGAAGAAAGAATAACTCTGAGGAACCTCATATTAATTTACTTTCTGTGCAAAGCAAGAGTCTAGATTTTAGACTATTACAGATTGTGGGTGTGGGTGTGGGTATGGGTAAGATAGTAAATTTTGGCTTTTGAAACAAATCAACAAATCATGTCATTCCTACTGAGTGGTAGCAAAGGATTTTTATTTTATTGAGTGAAAACTCTTAAGAGAGGTGTCTGGAAAGAATGAGTTAGGAAGCAGTTACTGACTGGGATGTGGGTTACAGGGACCCGGACCCAGATCCTTCTGTCTTTGAGCCAGCAAGAAGCCATTGAGAAACACCTGGATTTTGACAGCCGATGTGCTCTGCTAGCTCTGTTTGCACAGGCCACGCTCTCTGAACATCCCATGTCTTTCGAGGGCATTCAGCTACCTCAGGTATCCTGTGGGGGAATGGGGTGGGGGAGGTTGTGAGCAAGATCTGAGAACCAGGCCTTTGCACCTGTCAGAGGACAGTGTGGAAAGAGGAACTAAAGCTGACAAGGTGAGTGAAAGCCAAAGTTTATATCCCACAGGTCCCAGGAAGGCTGCTCTTCTCTCTGGTGAAGCGGTATTTGCATGTTACTTTTCTCCTGGATCAGCTGAATGACAGTGCTGGGGAACCAGGAGCCCAGAACAACTCTGCCCCTGAGGAGTTGAGTGGGGAGAGGGGCCGGCTGGAGCTGGAATTCAGTATGGCCATGGGCACCCTGATTTCTGAGCTTGTGCAGGCCATGCGTTGGGACTGGGCCACGAGCAGACCAGGGAGCCTGGCGCGGTCCCCCTGTTCCATCTTCCAGCCTCAGCCTGCAGATGCCAGTCCAGGGCACCTCTCCACCCAAGCCCAGCGCTCCTTCAGGAGGTCAAGACGGTTTCGCCCTCGATCTGAGTTTGCAAGTGGCAATACCTATGCCTTATATGTGCGGGACATGCTGCAGCCAGGCATGAGAGTGCGGATGCTGGATGATTATGAGGAGATCAGCGTTGGGGATGAAGGTGAATTCCGCCAGAGCAACAGTGGTGTGCCCCCCGCGCAGGTAAGAAGCACTATGGCAAGACACTGTTCTGAATTTTATTGGTTGGGTTTAGCTGTGCCTTTATGTGGCCCTTAGCTTGGCAACCCACCGGGAAAACCCTCAAATCAAGATGGTAAAATGGGGTCAGCAATTCAAAGGGAGGTTATTTGAAGGGCTAAGATTATCTGGGTATCAGAGGCTCACACCTAGGAAGAAAATGATATAGTTACCTTCTTCCAAAGGTCAGTATCAGGGAGATGGGGTGCTTGAGGCCAGGTGAAAGTATAGCAATGTAACCCATCAAGCATAGGCTGGCAGGAGAAACATAGCCCATCCCAGAAGAGGAATGTATCTTTTGGGTATATGTACATGCTTTTCATATGCCAGTGTTTGGCTACTTAAAGTATTTCCAAACTTGGTCAGGTGGTCATACTGGAGTTGAGCCCTCATCGTTGAGAATTAGCCAGTCTTAGTGAATCTTCTCCTTTTCCCTCATTTTTCCTCCATCATCCAGGTGCTGTGGGAGTCAACAGGCCGCACCTACTGGGTGCACTGGCACATGCTAGAGATCTTGGGATTTGAGGAAGACATTGAGGACACGGTTGAAGCTGATGAGTACCAGGGGGCAGTGATCAGTAGAGTCTTGGGCGGAGGTGAGCTCAAAGAGGAATGTAGGGATCAGCCCTGAGCAGAGGAATGGTGGTCTGGCTGGGTGGGCAATGACGTGGCTATCCCACGGCCCATTTGCACAGCACTGCCCTCCTGGCGCTGGAAGCCTATGACTGAACTCTATGCTGTGCCTTATGTGCTGCCTGAGGATGAGGATGCTGAAGAGAGTGAACATCTGACCCAGGCCGAGTGGTGGGAGCTCCTCTTCTTCATCAAAAAGTTGGATGGACCTGATTACCAGGAGGTTTTCCAGATCCTACAGGACAACCTGGAAGGGGAGGTAGACACTCAGGGGTTGAAGGACATTGTTGCAAGGGCTGGACTGTGACAGACATTTGGAAGGCTCCAGATGGCCAAAGGAAGTCATGAGACAAAAGAGCCACTAGGGAGGAGTCTGGAATGTCCAGAGATGCAGATGTGGGTAAAATGTTTGGGAGGAGCCAGCTACCAGCCTTGAGAGGTTCAGGGTGGAGAGTATGTGTGCAGGGGAGATCCCTGTCCCTTCCAGGTTCTCCCTGGAGCCTTTGCCCTTAGAACTATCTTCAGTTAGACCTTCTCCTTGATAGCACGTTCTAGATGAAGAGATCCTGGCTGAGCTGGCTGTACCCATGGAGTTGGCCCAGGACCTGCTGCTCTCTCTGCCACAGCGACTCGATGACAGTGCCCTAAGAGACCTGCTCAACTGCCGGGTTTACAGGAAGTATGGGCCTGAGGCCCTGGCAGGGCAGCCAGCTTACCCATCCTTTCTAGAAGCCCAGCAAGATGTGCTCCTGTTGAAAGCCCAGGCTCAGCCTCAGGAGTCAGAAAATGCAGCCAGAGTAGAAGGTGGGTGTCAGGCTTACCTCCAAAGGCAAGTGGGCATTCTTTTTTTTTTTTTTGGTGGGGGTAGGGGTACCGGGGATTGAACTCAGGGACACCCAATTGCTGAACTACATTCCAAGCCCTTTTTGGTATTTTAATAGAGACAGGGTCTCACTGAGTTGCTTCGTGCTCTCTGTTGCTGAGGCTGGCTTTGAATTCGCGATTCTCTTGTCTCAGCCTCCCTAGCCACTGGGATTATAGGCATGTGCCACTGCGCCTGGTTAACAGGGCGTTCTTAAGGACTGTGCTGCTTGTTGTGCAGTTTTTTTCTGGGAAAGACAACATTTTATTTAGCGAGAATCCAAAATTTAGAGATAAGCAATAAGTGGAGAAGTAGACACTGTACTTCCCTTAAAGAATAAAGGAGTGGGCTGGGGTTGTAGCTCAGAGGTAGAGTACTTGCCTAGCACTGAGGGACTGGGTTCGATCCTCAGTATCACATCTAAATAAATAAATAAATAAATAAATAAATAAATAAAGGTACTGTCTATTTACACCTAAAAAATATTAAAAAAAAAACAAAAAGAAAAAGAAAAGAAAGCCAAGTGTGGTGGTATAAACCTGGAGTCCCGGCTACTTGTGGACTGAGGTAGAAAGATCATTTGAGTCTAGGAGTTCAAGGCCAGCCATGGCAAGATAATCAGTCCACATCTCAAAATACAAAAAAGGATAATGGAGGACGTAAAGTTAGAACATTGTAAGAGGTTTTTGAGGCCTAAAAAAGTCCTGACTTTTGCCAGGTATGGTGGTACATGCCTATAATCCAGTAATTTGAGAGGCTGAGGAAGGAGGATGGCAAATTTGAGACCAGACTGGGCAATTTAATGAGACCCTGCCTCAAAAAAAAAAAAAAAGGCCTGTGATTGTAGCTCAATGGTAGAGTGGTTCTATTTAGAGAGAGAGAGAGAGAGAGAAAGAAATTATGAAATCTCCAAAACTAACTTACAGGAGGAAGACCAAAAAAAGTCAGGCTCAGCATGTGGCGCAGTGGTAGTATATATGCTTGGTATACACAGTGCCCTGGGTTCTATCCCTAATATGGAAAGGGAAAAAATCAAAATCATTTTTAGGAGACATTAGAAGTAAAGATTGAGAGTAAAGAATCTGTCCTTTTCTGAGCCTCTGCACCACTAACAGTGAACAATTCTTGTAACACCTCTTCCTATAGTGAAGGAACCCCCACCTCAGAGCCCCAGTGCTTCCCTGCAGTCTCTGGTGGAGGGTCTGGGCCCAGCTGGGAAACTCCTTGTGGATCTGGAACGAGCCCTGAACTCTGAGGGACCCCGGGAGAGAGAGGTCAAGCCATGCCTGCTGCAGCTCCAGCGGCAGCCTCAGCCCTTCCTTGCACTGATGCAGACCTTGGACACTCCGGCTACCAACAAGGCCCTGCATCTGACTGCGCTGAAGTGAGGAACTGGTGAGAGGTGGGGATAGGCAAAGGGCCTCAGGCCAGCTGTGCATCCCTGCCTTCTGCCCCTGCTCCTAGAATCCTGACGCAGCTGGTGGACTTCCCCGAGGCACTGCTGCTTCCCTGGCACGAGGCCATGGATGCCTGCATGACCTGCCTGCGGTCCCCCAACACTGATCGAGAGGTACCCCTGCCCTGCTCCAGGGAGATGCTGGGAGGGAGAGGACACAAGGCAGCCCACTGGTGAGGCAAACCTCCTCAGCAAGGAAATGATAGAGCCTTTGTGCTCTTGGTTGAAGTTTTGCTTTTTTTTTTTCTTAAGTTATAGATGAACACAATATCTTTATTTTATTTATTTATTTTTATATGATGCTGAGGATTGAACCCCATGCCTCACACATGCTAGGCAAGTGCTCTACCACTGAGCTACAGCCCCAGCCCTGAAATTTTGCTTTTAAAATTGAATTTTAGCTAAGCACGGTGGCACCTGCCTATAATCCCAGCAACTCAGGAAATTGAGGCTGGAGGGTGGCAAGTTCAATGTCAGCCTCACCAAATTAGTGAGACTTATGTCTCAAAATATAACATGAAAAATGGCTGCGGGTTTAGCTCAGTGGTAGAACATCCCTGGGTGGAATCCCCAGCACCTAAAGAAAAAAGTTTAAAATTTAATCTTATTTTTTTTAAATAGGTTATGCATTCAAACAGTTCACAAATCAAAATGATATAACAAGGTATACATTGAGAACCCTTGCTCCCACTTAAATTTCTGTCACTCAGTATTCCCCCCCACTTGTATTAATTTTATGTATCCTTCCTGTGTTTCCTATGCAAATATAAACAAATAAGAGCTTCCGTGGTTCCTTTTTTGGCTGGTTCTATGGGGTAAAGAGGTGCAGGAGACAGGGGGCACACCACATTACAAATGTTCCCTGCAAGAGCTACAGAGAGGTCCTGGGCACAGAAGGCTTTAGAAGGGATCAGAGAATTAGGGTCATGGTGGCAGTAAGTGTCTACAGTCCACAACTTTTGCTATTACTTAGATTTTAGTTTCTAAAAGGGTACCCCTGAGGGAATATACACAAATCCAGTTCCCCTTGGGCCCCACCAAGCCCTTCCAAGTGACTGAACTTGGGGCCTGAATATTTCAAAACACAGACCTACAATTCATTTTCAGGATAGGTGGGCCTGAATGAGAGAATCCAGGATTTCTCTCTGTACCTGTTGTCAACATACTCAGTAGCTTAGAACCCCAGGATGGCAAGATGTCCCTTGGCTCTTTCCTTTTTGGCTTGCTTTTGGTTCTCTAACTCCACCTAGCTTTATGTCTCTCCCATCCCTGTCCTTGTACTTCCTCACTCTTGTCTCGTTCACTGCAGCACCCCCAGCACCCAGTACATAATGGGTTTTTACCACTGTGGGTTCCCTTCTGGCCTGTTCCCTGAGTCCTATATTTATGACCCCCTTGACATTGCCATCCCAGGTGCTCCAAGAACTGATCACCTTCCTGCATCGCTTGACCTCAGCAAGCAGGGACTACGCTGTGGTACTGAATCAGCTGGGAGCCCGAGATGCCATCTCCAAGGCCCTGGAAAAGCACCTGGGAAAGTTGGAGCTGGCTCAGGAGCTGCGGGACATGGTGTTCAAGTGTGAGAAGCATGCCCACCTCTATCGGAAGCTCACCACTAACATCCTAGGTGGCTGCATCCAGGTCAGGAGGAAGGGCAGGATGAAGCTTGTGGGTTCAGAGCTGCCTAAGAATACAAAATCTAGCAGTGGCTGGGAAGGGGCTGTGTTCCTGAAGCTGGGAACAGCAGGTGACTCAAGTGAGCCTGGGAGCATTTGTTCCCTGCCCTCTCTTCCCACCACTGCTTGAGATTTCCTCCATCCATATTTCTGTGTGTCTTTCCACATTCCTCCCATACCTCTTCTCTCTGATGTTCCGGCTGCAGATGGTGCTGGGCCAAATTGAAGACCACAGGCGAACCCACCGGCCCATCAACATCCCTTTCTTTGATGTGTTCCTCAGATATCTGTGCCAGGGTTTGTACCTGTCCCCCAGTTGCTCAACATCCCCACACCTATTCCATTTCCCCTCTGTACTTGTCTGGCTGTGACCTCCACTTCTTTCCCAGGCTCCAGTGTGGATGTAAAGGAGGACAAGTGCTGGGAAAAGGTAGAGGTGTCCTCCAACCCACACCGGGCAAGTAAGCTGACAGATCGTAACCCTAAGACCTACTGGGAGTCCAATGGCAGTGCAGGCTCCCACTCCATCACCTTGTACATGCGTCAGGGTATCCTCATCAGGTAATATGCGCCTGTGTATATGCTTAGTGACACACCTGGGCTTTCTTGTGACATCCCTGTGTTGGAGGATGCACCATCCCTCTGAATTTGGTGAGTCTACAAGGACATGAGAGGTTCCAGTTCCCATTGGGTCTTCCTTCCCACTCCTAGGCAGCTGACAGTGCTGGTTGCTGGTGAAGACTCGAGCTACATGCCAGCCCGGCTGGTAGTGTGTGGGGGCGACAGCGTCAACTCTCTTAACACGGAACTCAACTCGGTAGGAACCCCTGTGCCATTAGCCTATCACTTGCGGATCTGCCCTTCTATCCTGCCCTAATCTCCTAACTTCCTACCCATTTTGAGCCCCATAAAAGCAGAGTCCTTTATCCCTGTGCCTATGTGATGGCATCAGGTCTCAAGCAGTAGGGGTGGCATTAGGGTCCCTTTTATTTTTTTATTATTTTTTTTAGTTGTACATGGACACAATACCTTTATTTATTTATTTGTATGTGTTGTTGAGGGTCAGACCAAGTGCTTTACATGTGCAAGGCAAGCACTTTACCATTGAGCCACAATCTCATGCCCTAGAGTCTTTTTTTTAGGAGCCCCATGTCCCAGGACTATAGGAGGAAGGGACACAGCTAGGAGATTGGTGCTGATATAGGTGCTTTCAATACTCCCATCTACATATGCAGAGGTGACAGTTCTCTCTATCCCTTGACAGGTGAATGTGATGCCCTATGCCAGCAGGGTGACTCTCCTGGAGAACCTGACCCGCTTTTGGCCCATCATCCAGATCCGCATAAAGCGCTGTCAGCAGGTGTGACTTGGGGTATGGGGTTCTGAGGCCCTGCACTTTGTGGATCTTGAGCCTGGCTCTCAGGGAGCTCCAGGGGTGAGGATTGAGGGCATAGCCAACCCTAGCCCAACCCAAGAAGGGTATGGGCAAATGAAAAGAGTCCTGTGTCTGTTACAGGGTGGCATTGACACTCGCATTCGGGGCCTGGAGGTCCTGGGCCCCAAGCCCACTTTCTGGCCAGTGTTCCGGGAACAATTGTGTCGTCATACACGCCTCTTCTACATGGTTCGGGCACAGGCCTGGAGTCAGGACATAGCAGAGGACCGCAGGAGCCTTCTGCATCTGAGTTCTAGGTGTGTGGAAATGTAGGTGTGTCTGTCTTTGCAGAAGGTCAGATTATCACAAATGACTAACAGGCTGGGTTCTAGACAGGCCATGAGTTAGGGCTTTAATACAATTGGGAAGAGAAAAAAAGAATAAAGCAGTTTCCCCTCTGCCCAGATGGGATGTACCAGTTATCCCAGGGCAGTTATTAAATACCAAGAGGGGCTCTGGCCTGGGTGCTGAGGGCAAGCTGACTGGGCAATACTGGGCAACTAGAGCCTCAAGCCCTACACCTTCCTTCTGCATTCTCCTCCCCAGACTGAATGGAGCTCTGCGCCAGGAGCAGAATTTTGCAGATCACTTCCTCCCTGACGATGAGGCCGCCCAAGCACTGGGCAAGACCTGCTGGGAAGCCCTGGTCAGCCCCCTAGTGCAGAACATCACCTCACCTGGTAATCATTCTGACACCAGGCCCCACCAATCAGCTCTTTCTTGCTCTAACCTAGAAATACCTGGGTAGGCTGGGGATGTGGCTCAAACAGTAGCATGCTCTCCTGGCATGCATGCGGCCCGGGTTCAATCCTCAGCACCACATACAAACAAAGATGTTGTGTCTGTCGAAAACTAAAAAAAAAACATAAATAAATATTAGAAATACCTGGGATATGCCCTTGGTCCTTTTGGTTCCTATGTTTGTCACCCTGGTCCCTTCCTCCCCAACCAGTGTCTGCCCAAGTGTTGGTCAGTGGAAGCCTGCTGCCCCTCTTCCATGTGTCATTCCATCCTATTGCTCTCTCCCGAACTCTCAATTCCCCAAAGACATGCCACGTGTTGACTTATTTTTCTCGCCCTCCAGATGAGGATGGCATTAGCCCCTTGGGCTGGCTGCTGGATCAGTACCTGGAGTGTCGGGAGGCTTCTCATAATCCCCAGAGCCGGGCAGCAGCATTCTCCTCTCGTGTGCGTCGCCTTACCCACCTGCTAGTGCACGTGGAGCCTTGTGAGATGGCCCCTCCAGTAGTGGCCGCCCCTCGGCCTAGTGAGTACTGGGGATTCCAATAGCAGGTCTAGTTAGGAGCATTTCCTGGGCCCCCACTCACATGTTAGGCTTGTATTAGGCCATCCAGGAACATCATTTTGGAGAGCAGCATGTCTAAGGCCTTAGGAATCATCCTTGGGGACCTGAGGGGCTGCCCGCTTCTTGCCTCTGCCACTTTCTCTGTCTCCACAGAGGGCAGAAACAGAAGCCATGACTGGAGCTCCTTGGCCACCAGAGGCCTTCCGAGCAGCATCATGAGAAATCTGACCCGCTGTTGGCAGGCTGTGGTAGAGGAGCAGGTGGGCAGGGGCAGGCATGGGTTGAGGGACACTGTGGTGGTGGCATGATCAGTGCTTCTTCACGATCCTGTGCCTTCCTTCCAGGTGAACAACTTTCTAACCTCGTACTGGCGGGATAATGACTTTGTGCCACGCTATTGTGAACACTATTATAACCTGCAGAAGTCGAGCTCTGAGCTGTTTGGGCCACGGGCAGCCTTCTTGCTGGCGCTGCAGAATGGCTGTGCTGGAGCCTTGCTCAGGCTCTCTTTCCTCAGAGCTGCCCATGTAAGCCACTCTCCCACACCTCTACCAGGCCCCTCCCCTCTGACTTTCCCCTTCCTGCCTCCCCTAAATGACCCACCCTCCATTCCCATTCTCTTTGAGTATAACCATGTTTGGGTTTTTTTTTTGTGTGTGTGTATGGGGGGGTACTAGATTGAACCCAGGAATGCTTTACTACTGAGCTATATCCCCAGACTTTTGATTTTTTGAGACAGGGTCTCGCAGAGTTGCCCAAACTAGCCTCAGACTTTCAGTTCTCCTGTGTCAAGTCTCCCAAATTGCTGGGATTGCCAGCCTTAGCCGCTGTCATGACACATTAGAAGTTTTTCCCAGTGTTGCTCCTGTCCTCATATTTTGTTTGTGCATTGATACCACCTGGTGGATGTACTGTGATTTACTTACCATTCTCATTCTTTCAACAAGTATTTAAAAGCATTGGGCGTCAAGCAGTATGATGAAAGGTAAAGGAAGAATAATGAGCAAGACAGAGGGCCTCATTTAAGGAACACACACAGCAAATGTTAAGCAAATCATGAACATGACAAGCACCCTGGAGAGCAAGGTTCAGTGCAGCAGGGTAGTGGCACTGTGGTTACTTGAGTTGCTTCTGGTTCTGTTTTATCAGTAATACCACAGTGTACTGTCTTTGGCCATATAACCGATTTCCTCATTTAAAATTACTATTATTTGAAGTGGGCACCGTGGCATATGCCTATAATCCCAGCTACTCTGGAGACTGAGAGGCAGGAGGATCACAAGTTGCCTATCTCAAAACAAAAATTTTTAAAAAGTAATAAAAAGAAGGACTGGGGATGTAGTTCAGTGGTAGAGTGCTCTTGTGTTCAATCCCCAATACTACAAAAATAAGTAAATAAATAAAATTACTATTGTCTGATTTTTAGACACAAAACATTTTTCAAAATTGTTAATATTGCTAATTTGCACAATTATTGATTTTATAAAATAGTTTTATAAAAGTGTTAATCAGATTGGTAATGTACCTCAGTAGTTGAGCATGTGCTTAGCATGTACAAAAACCTGGGTTACATTGCCCAGCAACAACAAAAAAATAGGGTTGACCAATGGAGAGGATGCCAGCCATTCACATCTCCTTTCTCAGACCTTCTCACTGCTTCTGCTCACCTGCTCCCCTTGGCTAACTTGCTCAGGTTATCCTTACTTTCCCAACACCTAGGTGAGCGAGCAGTTTGCCCGGCACATTGATCAGCGGATCCAGGGTAGCCGGATTGGTGGAGCCCGGGGAATGGAGATGCTGGCACAACTGCAGCGATGCCTGGAAACTGTCCTAAATTTCTCTGGCCTTGAGATAGCCACCACCTTTGAGCATTACTACCAGTGAGTGTGGACCTAGGGAATAGGAGATGGAGGGACACAGGATGGAGGGTCAGGGCTAGCTCACAGAGCCTGGGAATCTGCAATATAGTCAGGCTGGAACCCTGGAGTAGGAAGCTGGTTCATGCTGGTACTCCCACTGAGATCTGACCTGGGTTGTGTGTGTCACAGGCAGTACATGGCAGACCGTCTACTGGGCGTGGGCTCCAGCTGGCTAGAGGGGGCTGTGCTGGAGCAGATTGGTCCCTGCTTCCCCAATCGCCTCCCCCAGCAGATGTTGCGGAGCCTGAGCACCTCAGAGGAGCTGCAGCGCCAGTTCCATGTATACCAACTCCAGCAGCTCGATCAGGAACTCCTAAAGCTGGAGGACACAGAGAAGAAAATACAGGTAGGTGCCAGGGAAAGAATGCACAAGTAAGAAGGTGGGAAGGGAGAAACATGGAGCTGGACAGAAGAGGCCCTCAGCATTTGGAAATCCTGTGCCCCTTCAGGTGGGCCACGAGGCCAGTGGCAAGGAGCATAAGAATGGAAAGGAAGAAGATGCTGGGGAAGCAGTGGCTGCAGATGTGGTGGAGGGAGAGGAAGAGGAGAATGAGGATCTCTACTATGAAGGGGCAATGCCAGAAGTATCTGTGCTTGTCCTGTCCCCGCGCTGCTGGCCTGTTGCTTCCATCTGCCATATGCTGAACCCTGGAACCTGCCTGCCCTCCTACCTGAGGGGCACTTTGAACAGATACTCCAACTTCTACAACAAGAGTGAGGAAGCAGGCAGAGGGACTGTGGTGGACTGGAGAGAGGACAGGCTGTTGGAGAAGGGCCTGAGGCTGGGGTAGACCCTGGGGTCAGGAGCTTTGGTGGGAACAAACATGGTCTTTAGGGATAAGACTCCCTCAGGCAACAGGGGAAGGGAGGTGGATCTGAGAAGAAAGGGTAGGAGCTGCAGTTTTGTCTGGGGTAAAGATGCTGTCAGACTATAGATCCCAGGAATCTGAGGGTAGTTGGGAGAAGAGAAAGAGGAGGGACCTGAGTAAGGCCACCAGAAAGGGCTTTCCCTGGGAGTAGGTATGTGGCTCCTTCTTGGTCAGTCACCTGTAGTTCCAAACTGCTAACTTCCCATTGAGGGCTAATCCCTGTGCTGGGCAGCAACCAAGGAGGAAAAGAAACTGAATCTACCCTCAGGTAGCTTCCAGACTATTGGGAGAGACACTTCCCCTCTTACAATATTCCAGTTTAATAAGAGCCCCAGTCTTCTTACTTCATTGCATCGTTTCGTCTCTAAATAAAACGGGCCTGACTAACACAGGAGTAGGCCCAGGCTGGCTCCCAGATACCTGAGATAAGCCAGAGGGGTAGATCAGAGAAAGCTGGGATCTGGAATTTCAGATTGGGACCTTCTGTTTTCTATAAATGCTGAGGCCACATGCTTTGCAGACATTAGCAGAAAGCAAACTTGGCCAATAGTGCACACTTCCTGAAATCCCATTCCTTCCTTTCCTCTCACCTTTGTTTTCCTCCCTTCCTTGGCACTTCTCCAGGTCAGAGACACCCTGCCTTAGAGCGAGGCTCACAGAGGCAACTACAGTGGACGTGGCTGGGCCGAGCTGAGGTGCAGTTTGGGGACCAGACCCTTCATGTGTCCACCATGCAAATGTGGCTGCTGCTGAATCTCAACAATCTAAAGGTGGCCCAGCTCCTCTGCCTTTTCTCACTTTGTCCTTCATTTTTCTAAACTCTTCCCTTCATCCTCTTCCCTCCACTCCTGGAGAGGCCCTGAATGCTTTGTGCCTTTTCTCTTAAGGCGGTGTCTGTAGAGAGCCTGTTGGCACTCTCAGGGCTCCCTCTGGAGATGCTGAATCAGGCAATTGGGCCTCTCACCTCTTCAAGAGGCCCCTTGGATCTTCAGGAGCAGAAGGATGTACCAGGAGGTATACACTCAGGGCCAGAGGGCCTCTGTTCTGAGCTAGGGCCAGGTTCCTTGTGAGCCCCTACCAAGTGACCACCATTTATTTCAGGGGTGCTCAAGATTCGAGATGACAGTGAGGAACCCAGGCCAAGGAGGGGCAATGTGTGGCTTATCCCACCTCAGACATACATGAAAGCTGAAGATGAAGAAGGCCGGAACTTGGAGAAGAGACGGAACCTTCTCAACTGCCTTGTTGTTCGAATCCTCAAGGCCCACGGGGATGAAGGGCTGCACATTGACCAGCTTGTCTGCCTGGTAGGTAGTAGTCAAAGGGATGTGGGTTTGGGGTGAGGGCAGCCTACAGAAGGTGGTGGGTCCATATTTGAAGCATCTTGTTCACCGTGCAGGTGCAGCCTATAGATGTGTGAGAAGTAAGGCTGAGGTTCACCTAATGTGCTCAGGACTTCCTGTCCTCTCATATGGTTGGTGTTGTCTCTGACCTGTTTCTCTCTGGTCTCCCATAATAGGTGCTGGAGGCTTGGCAGAAGGGCCCATGTCCTCCGAGGGGTTTGGTCAGCAGCCTTGGTAGAGGGGCTGCATGTAGCAGCACTGATGTCCTCTCCTGCATCCTGCACCTCCTGGGCAAGGGCACGCTGAGACGCCATGATGACCGGCCCCAAATGCTGTCCTATGCAGTCCCTGTGACTGTGATGGAGCCCCACACCGAGTCCCTAAACCCAGGCTCCTCAGGCCCTAACCCACCACTCACCTTCCACACCCTGCAGATTCGCTCCCGTGGTGTGCCCTATGCCTCCTGCACCGGCACCCAGAGCTTCTCTACTTTCCGGTAGCCCTATAAATGGGGTCCATGATAGGTGAGACTGGAGCTTTTTACAGAAATAAAACATGGTGTTTGATTATGTGATCTGTTGTTTGGTGACTGCTAGAACTGAGATGGGCAAGAGGCTTTCCTGGATGGCTGGGAGAAGGAGCCCTCTGGCACTGAGACTATCTCCTACCATGCTAGGAGATTTATCAAGATGAGGAAGGTGGAATGGGGAGAAAGGGAGAGGTAGTCAGATATGTCTTCCCAGCCCTCTCCACCAGTATTAAGGAACAGGATGGAGCTCAGCCCCTTCTAAGTGTTTATGCAGAAGCACTTTCATCTCACAGGCTGGAGACCCGAGCCCACCTCAGCCACTAGCCAGATGCTTTGTAACTTGGGTAGTTATCAGGCATGGTTTCATTTTCCTTGTTTCTGGTACTGAACCAGTTGCTGAGGGACTGATGAGTAACAGGTGTGGAAACATTTGACCCAGGGACAGCTTTGCCAGCAAGTTCCTGTTTGGTTGCCACTCCCAGCAGTAAGTAAAATTCACCCATTCCTTCCCTAAGGCAGACAGGAGATAAAAGACTCCCTGTAGCCACTACAAGCATCCAAGAACCTGAATGTCCTTTTTTTTTTGGATATTTTATTTAGAGACAGCGTCTCACAGAGTTGTTTAGCACCTCACTTTTGCTGAGGCTGGCTTTGAACTTGTGACCCTCCTGCCTCAACCTTCTGAGCCACTGGGATTACAGGCATGCATCATCATTCCTGGCTGTCTTTTATCCAGTGGTTTAGAATCTGGGTTGGAAGTAGATATGGGACTATAGCTGTTATTTCCTCCCATAAGCTCCTCTACATTGCCCCTCTCTTCCCATCCTCCTCTGCTTCCACCTCTCCTCTGGTAGAGCTGCATACACCGTCCTGGAATTCCTATCTCCATCTAGCCCCCTAGGCAAGCCTTGCTGCTGTGGGGGGGTGGGGGTTTGCTGTCCTCTGATTGGCTGCTCTGCCTCCACCCACATTGAGGCTGCACAGGGCACACTAGGGGACCCAGTGCCAAGGGTGGAGTTTTGCATCTTGGCAAGGACACTGGGGAGGAGGGAAGGAGTCCAGGGTTCTTAAAGCTCACCAGTGACAGGAAGAAAGTTAAAAAAGAAAGGGAAGAAGGGTGAGGAAGGGTCAGGTGCTAAGGGAGGTCACAGACACTAGCAGAAGGAATAGAGCCACTCAGGATTGAGATTAGGAACGGAGTCTATAAGGGAAAAAGAGGTCAGGGCCTGGAAAAATGAGAGAAATCAAGAGGAAGCAACAGAACAGAGGGCAGAGCATTATCAAAACACTGAGGGCTCAAATGCTTTGCAGTACTGGTCCCATGGTGCTTTTGGTAGGTATTACAGCAAGTGCCTGCCTATTGGCCCATGGCTGCCCTGGAGGGGCAGAGACCAGAGAAGAACAAGCAATAGGCAGGGGCAGTAGTGGGCTCAGGGTATGGGGTTGCTGTGGTGTGTCACTTGGGTGCCTTTCCTTTGTAGCAGAGACCATGCCTTTTATTGGTCAAGACATCCTCTTGTTCTTGAGCTAGTGTTCAGGTGCCAAAACTTCTCTGAACTCTACTCCCTTGTGATGACTAATGTGAATTGTCAGATTGATTAGATTGAGATGCCTAAAATTAAGAGGCTTCTGAGTGTCTCATTGAGGGTGTTTGTAGGAATGATTTGCATGTGGGACAGCAAATTGAGGCCGAGACCCACCCTACTGTGAGGAGCAGTCCAGCAGGTTGGGAGCTTAGATGAAACAAAAACTGGAAGAAGGAAATAGCAGCAGACACAGCTCAATTCTTGAGAAGTTCTTCGATTGCAGTTGCAATTGCCTGAGGACATCCTTCACCAGCTCTTTTGCTCTTCCAAAGCACATTCTAACCAAGGACTCGCCAGGGGATTTCCCAAATTGGGGCTAATCACTGATCCCTAGTGTTCAGAGGCTCCAGTTCTTGGACTGAGCAGGTACTGGTTCCTCTGGCTTTCCCGCCTGCAGATGATCTCTATAGGGCCCTTTTATAATCTATATCCTATTGATTTCTCTAGAAAACCATAATATACCCCTGCTGTGGGCTCTATAACCAGGCCAGTACACACCACATGTCTGAACAGAGGATGGGACTTTTTTGTATGGCCAATCCCACCCCCCATCCTGCCACTGACTGCATGGACTCCTGCATTAACTGAGCTGTACATGCTGCACTAGTTCAACCCTTCAAGCATTTTATAGCCACCAAACCCCTCAGTATCCTGGTTCTTCTGCAATGAACTAAGTCTCCATCCAGCAATTTTTTTGGGGGGGGGGTGTGCACGGGGGTATGCTGGGGATCAAATCTAGGACCTTGTGCATGATAAGTGCTCTACCACTGATCTACACACTCCAGCCCTCCAAAAAATTTTGTACCCACTGAGCCACATCCATAACCCTTCCTCAACTTTTTTTGAGACAGGTTCTCACTGAATTGCTGAGGCTGGCTTTGAATTTGTGATCCTCCTTCCTCAGTCTCCCAATCAGTTGGGATTGCAAGCATGCACCACCATGCCCAGCCAGTCCTTTAAAAATTCACACCACCAGCTTTGGCCCCCAAACCCCTGACTTTGGTACAGCACCTGTGTTGTCCACACTTTATAGCACACAGTCACCCACCCACTCTGGCCTAGGTGACTTGTGGGAATCCAGGAGAGTAGCCGACTTAGGTACAACCTATGCTCTCACCAGCACCAGGACAATCTGACCTCCTTCTCTGCCTTCAGGACCATCCATCCCATGAGAGCAGACAGTTTGCTTCATTTCTAAGATAACTCAAGAGTTACATTAGAGACGAGATTATGTTATTCTCATGCCCATCCCTGCTCCTTTGTGGAGCCATCCTCACAGGCACATATCTTAGATCCCTACAGCTAGTTACGGCCCTTGACACAGTGACACATGCCTGTAATCCCAGCAATTTGAGAGGCTGAAGCAGGATACAAGTTCTAGAACTATCTCAGCAATTTACTAAGACACTATCTCAAGATAAAAAGGGCTAGAGATGGGGCTGGGGTTGTAGCTCAGTGGTAGAGTGCTTGCCCAGTATGTGTGACACACTGTATTCAATTTTCAGCACCACATATAAGTCAACAAAAGACCATTAACAAAAAAAAAAAAAAAAAATTTAAAAAAGGGTAAAGCATCCCTGGGCTCAAATTCCAGTACAGGGGTGGGGGGATCCTACGGCAGTTACTTTCATCTGACAATCTCAAGACTTAAAGAGGAAAAAACACACATTTTGACTCCATTTAAATAAAATGTCCCAAATAAGCAAATCCATATAGACAGAGAACAGATGAATTCAGGGGCACTTGTCTACTGAGCCACATCCCCAGCCCTATTTTGTATTTCCTTTAGAGACAGGCTCTCACTGAGTCACTTAGCACCTCACTATGCCCGGCATAGGGTTTCTTTTTGGTTTCAAAAATATTCTCACATTGTGGTAATAGTTGCACAATTTTGTAATTATACTAAAAACTACTGTTCATCTTTTTTTTTTTTTAAGAGAGAGTGAGAGGAGAGAGAGAATTTTTAATATTTATTTTTCAGTTCTCAGAGGACACAACATCTTTATTGGTATGTGGTGCTGAGGATCGAACCCGGGTGGCACGCATACCAGGCGAGCGCGCTACCGCTTGAGCCACATCCCCAGCCCTACTGTTCATCTTAAACACATAAATTTTAAGGTATGTGAATTACATTTCAATAAAGCTATTACTCAAAACAAAAAACCCTCAATGAAATCCAATATCTTCTCTGGGTCCTTGCTGAAGGGTGACTGAAGGCCTGGGGTGGCCAGTACTTATTTGGACATGTATGTCCTCTGATCACCAGTCATCTGAGAAACTCCCAACTCTAGATAAAGAATAAATTCTTGCTTTTCCAGCCCACCCCCCTTGCAGCCATGTGACCAAGGCCTGGCTAATCAGAACAAAGCAGGAGAAAGTGGAAAGTACATCTTGGTGGCACTGAGGCACCTCCACATTAATATTCTGGTTCTTTTTTTTTTTTTTTAAAGTGAGAGAGAGGGAGAGAGAGAACTTTAATATTTATTTTTCAGTATTTGGCGGACACAGCATCTTTGTCTGCATGTGGTGCTGAGGATTGAACCCGGGCTGCACGCATGCCAGGCGAGCGTGCTACCACTTGAGCCACATCCCCAGCCCAATATTCTGGTTCTGAGACAGAGTTACAGAGTATATTTTTTTAATATTTATTTTTTAGTTATAGGTGGACACAATCTTTATTTTATTTTTATGTAGTGCTGAGGATCAAACCCAGTGCCTCACACATGTAGGCTAGCACTCTACCTCTGAGCCACAATCCCAGCCCAGAGTATTTTTAATGACTAGACTTTATCCCTATCTTCTTTCCTCCAATTTGGATCTTCTCTCTAGCATTCTCAGTAGTTCTGATACTTAGATAGTTTTCTGCTTTTAACCAGCCAGAATCCATTCACTGACTTAAAAAAAAAAAAAAAAAAAAAAGATTGACACACATGACACCAGGGACCCTGTAGCACTCTCCTGGCAAGGCAAACTATACTGATAGCTATGATCCTAGGCTTACAATCAGGGGAGAGGAGCATTTCAGCTTCCATTTCTATCATTAGGACATCTTTCTCCCATTTCAGAGACATCAAGCAATAGATATAGTTCTTTTTTTAATTTTCCCTTTTGTGGTACTGGGGATACTTTACAACCAAGACACATTCCTAGCCCTACCCTACATTTTTCTTTGGTCCTGAGGATTGAACCCAAAGGTACTTTACCACTGAGTTAGATCCCTGGCCCTGCTTTTTTTTTAAATTTTGAGACAGGCTCTTCCTAAGTTGTTTAGTGCCTCACTAAACTGCTGATACTGGCTTTTAACTTGGGATCCTCAAACCTCAGCCTCCCCAGCTGTTGGGATTACAGGCATGTGCCACTGTGCCCAGTTCAGCAAAGCTTTATGTCCCTACCTCCTATTTCCTCTTACAATTAAAACCAAGTAGTTCTGTGGGAGTGGCTGACCCTTTAAATAACTGTCATCTTTTCAGGACCCAGATTTAAGTAGGAAGAGTCTCTGATCTGACTTTTCACTTGTGGAAGGTGTAGGGTTGGTTGTTTATCCTTGTAAGTGTGGCCCACTAAAAGAGTTCTACAAAACAGTAAAATAATGAAAAATAACAGATGTTTATGAAATGATTCCTATATAAAGTCCCAGCCCTATAGCCACAGACTTCATGGTCCCATTTCTTCAGTACCAGAATCACTGGTTTAAGACTAGGATGGAAGAAAGGCAGGAGGACATAATGAACCAAATTCAAATACAGGTAGTGTGATGTAGCAGAAGGCTGAGCTATTCTTCTTGTCCTGCTCTAGGGGGAGTCCAAGAGCCCTAATCTTCTGAGTTCAAGATTGGATGTGATCTTTCCTTGCCCTTGAACAGCAAAGAACCAGGAATGAGCCCAGAGATCCATGTCTCCACAGACCCTTGTCTCCCTAGGCAGTGCAAACAGATGACAGTTCTTCAATATTCTCTGCTCAAAGGGAGATGTCTCTTGTCCTTGCCTGCATTTCGGTGCCTCTTTCGACTCAAGAAACTCTCCAGCTTCTTGCTGCGCTTCAGCTCCTTGAACTTCTCAGCTAGGACCAACTGACGCTGTTCAGCTAGATTACAAGGAGAAAGCAAATTGGTGAGCAAAGGAGGAAGCCCCTGTCTTTTCCTTTTCCCTGGTTGGTAATTTCCAGTCCCATGCTGGCATATGTGAGTTGTCTGGAGCTCTCTGATGTGTGGGAAGCCAACTTTTGAGTGTGTGTGTGTGTGTGTGTGTGTGTGTGTGTGGTACTGGGGTTTGAACCCAGGGTCTCAAGCATGCCAGGGAAGCACTCTATCACTGAGCTACATCCCAGCTTAAGCCAACGTTTTTATTTATTTGTTTGTTTAATATTTTATTTTTTAGTTGTAGTTGGACACAACACCTTTATTTCACTTATTTATTTTTATGGGTGCTGAGGATCCAACCCAGGGTCTTGCATGTGCGAGGCGAGCGCTCTACCACTGAGCCATAACCCCAGCCTGATTAAGCCAACTTTTTGTATGACCCAATCTTACTCAACTGAACCAACTGTGAACTCCTGCTCCTTCTATGTGCCCTGCCCAGCATAAATACGTATGTGTGTGTGGGGGGGGATACAAGCATCAATCCTGCCATAATCTAATTAGGGATACAAGAGTGGTTATAAATAACTCTTCCTTACTATTCCACTTTACTCCAAGTTATTGTGGGATCCAGCCTTCATGCATTCTTTTTGTTGCTACTGTTGTTCCTGAGGATTTAATCCATGGCCACTTAACCACTGAGCTGCATCTCTAACCCTTTAAAAAAATTTTTTTTGGAGACAGGGTCTCACTAAATTGCTTCATCTGGCCTTGAACTTGCAATCCTCCTGCCTCAGCCTCACAAATCATTGGGAATGGGGCTGGGGTTGTGGCTCAGCAGTAGAGTGATCGCCTAGCATGCACGAGGCACTGGGTTCAATCCTCAGCACCATATAAATGTAAAATAAAGATATTTTGTCTACCTAAAACTTAAAAATAAATACATATTTTTTAAAAAAATCATTGGGATTATACTTCATGCGTTTTTAAAGGGGCTCATGGACCCCCAACACAGTACCCTGCCAAAATGGACTCCACACCACCCCTGTAATCAGCCTGCAAGAGTTGTGCTCCACTCACATTTCTTCAGGAAGTATGGTCGATGACCCTGCTGGGCTTGAGTCCGCCGCTCCTGCTTCAGGGCCAGGCGAAGTTCCTGCTGCCGCTTTCTTTCCTGCTGTGCCATTTCTTGCTGTTCCTGAGGAGCAACGATGAGATGAAATGAGATGTTATAAACACCTGCCTTTAACTGTACTCACCACCCACTCACCATATCATCTACGTACCATTCGCTGAAGCAGTTGCTGCAGTTTCTCATGTTCCTCCCCTGAAAGGCGCTTCTTCAACTGTTTTTTCACAAGCTCCATAATGGAAAATTAATCAGATGGTTAGTATTTTATAAATGTTAATTGAAAGTCTGTGCCAAGCATTGTTCTAAGAAGTTTACACTATGACACAGGAATTTTATCTTCCCTTTATGTATGTGTGGTGCTGGGGATTGATCTCACAGCCTCACAGGTGCTAATAAAGCCCAAGTTCTACCACTGAGCTACAGCCCCAGCCCTTATTATCCTTTTCATAATTTGAAAGCTTAGGCAATGTTAAGTGAAATAAGTTTGGCACAGAAAGACAAAAACTGCATGTTTTCTTGTTCTCTTATATGTGGAAGCTAAAGCTGGTCTCAAAGAAGTAGAGAACAGAACAGCAGTTACTAGAGCCTGTGAAGGGTGTGGGGGAGGAAGGGACAGAGAGAGGATGCTTGACAGGTATAGCTGGACTGGCCAGAATGGTGCACACCTGTAATCCCAGCTACTCAAGAGGCTGAGGCAGGAGGATCACAGATTTGAAGCCAATTTGGGCAACTTAGCAAGACCCTGTCTCAAAATAGAAATAAAAAGGATTGGAGATGGGACTGGGATTGTGACTCAGTAGTAGAGCCCTCATCTAGCATGTTCGAGGCACTAGGTTTGATCCTCAACACCACATAAAAATAAATAAAACAAAGGTATTGTGTCCAACTACCACTAAAGAATATAGCTTTTTTTTTTTTTTTTTTTTTTTAAAAAAAGGACTGGAGATGTAGCTCAGTGGTAGAACACCCCTGAGATTCTATCCCAACTACCGAAATAAAAGAGCTGCCCCCCCACCCCGCCCACCCCACCACCACCATCGGTGTGGCAGGCAGGGTGTAGTTAGATAGGAAGATGACTTCCAAAGCTGTACAGCACAGCAGGATAACTACGGTTGACGACAGTGAAATGAACATTGCAAAACAGCTCATACAATTTTTTTTTTGTGTGTGTGTGTGTGTGTGTAGGGGATTGAACCCAGGACCTTCTGCATGCAAGGCAAGCACTCTTACCAACTGAGCTATATCCACAGCCCCAGCTCATACAATTAAAAAAAAAAAAAAAAAAAAGTTTTTTTTTTAGTTGTAGATGCACACAATATCTTTATTTTATTTTTTTTAATGTGGTACTGAAGGTCAAACCTAGTGCCTCATACATGCTAGGCAAGTGCTCAACAGCCCCAGCCCCAGCCCATAGAATTTTTATCATTCCCAACAACATCAAATTATATGTTGTGGGTGAAAAATATTCCAGTTACCCTCATCTGATCATTACACATTAAACTGTATACTGAAATGCCACACTGTATCCCATAAACATGCAATTACTATGTGTCTATTTTAAAAGATCTTAATTTTAAAAAGTAAAGCTTCCTGCCAAGCCTGGTGCCACATGCCTATAATCCCAGCAGCTCCGGAGGCTGGGGCAGGAGGATCACGGGTTCAAAAACCAGCCTCAACAAAAGCAAGGCACTAAGCAACTCAGTGAGACCCTGTCTCTAAATAAAATACAAAATAGGGCTGGGGATGTGGCTCAATAGTTGAGTACCTGAATTCAACCCTCAGTACCCACCTTCTCCCTCCCCCCAAAAAGTAAAGCTTCCAGCTTTTCTCTGTCTACTTTCTAACCTCTGCCCTGGTTCCCCATCCCCTAAAATACTCATGAACCAATCTCAAGCTTATACCTCTTTCTCTTTGGCTCGGATGTCATTTAAGAATTGATATGTTTTGTCAAACACCTCAGGATTATATTCTCCCGATAGATCATCAAAGCGAGGGTCCCGGGCCACCTTTGGAGAGAGTAGAGAAAATATAAAATACTATTCAGTCTCCTTTCACTGAAAAACTGCTTCCTGCCTCTTCCTCACCTTTTTACTGACTGGAACAACCTGACGTAAAAATGGCACTCGAACCTTGGCTGACATCTCCAGAGGCCTATGGAGAAATTACAAGAATGGGTCAAGGAGACTCCAATCTTGGTCAAAGGCTTCCCATCTGCCAACAAGAAAATAGACACCTAGCGGGGCATAGTAGTACACACCTGTAATCTAAGCTACTTGGAAGGCTGAAGCAGGAAGATTCCAAGTTCAAGTCTAGCCTGAACAATTTAGTGAGACCCTGTTTCAAAAATTAAAAAGTGATGGGGATGCAGCTCAGTAGTAAAGGACCCCTGGTTTCAAACACCAGTACCGTTAAAAAAAAAAAAAAAAAAGAGGGAAAGCAAACAGACCCCTATTCAAGATCCTGGGTATCCAACTCCTAAGATAAGCCTTACTTCTCACCTGTGCTTATCTGCAACACATGCATTTCGGACAGGTGGTCTAGAACATTGCTTCTTAGTGCCGTTTCCAGCTACCAATTGTTTGTATGTTTTGGTTCCCACTTGGCTCTGCAATTTCAACAGTTCCTCAAATGACATGTCAGCTATACCTGCAAAAGTGGGGAGGATTACAAAATTCAGCTTAGTATCTCCCTCTGTAGAAAAGACATCATCTCATTCCCATTCCTCAGATCCTTTCCAACATCCCCATCAGATCAATCATTATTTATAAGTCCCATACAGCACAGGCTATGATTATGATGCTATAATACTACTTAACTCTTCAAATGTTTTAGCTACCTGGAGCCTCATCTTACTAACAAAGGTATATGGCTGCTGGGTGAGGTAATCCCAGTGACTCAGGAGTCTGAGGCAGGATCATAAGTTTGCAGCCAGGGCTGGGGATGTGGCTCAGGTGGTAGCGCGCTCGCCTGGCATGCGTGCGGCCCGGGTTTGATCCTCAGCACCACATACCAACAAAGATGTTGTGTCCGCCGAGAACTAAAAAATAAATATTAAAAAATTCTCTCTCTCCCCCCCTCACTAAAATAATAATAATAATAATAAGTTTGCAGCCAGGCTCAGCAATGTAAGAGAGACACTAAACAACCTAGAGAGACCCTGTCTCAAAATACAAAGGGCTGGGGATGCTGCTCAGTGTTTAAGCACTCCTAGGTTTAAAAGAAAGAAAGAAAGCTATAGGATTGCCAGGTGCAATGGTGCACACCTATAATCCTGTGACTCAGGAAGCTGAAGCAGGAGAATCATATGTTCCAGGCTAGCCTCAACAACTTAGCCACACCCTCAGCAATTTCGAATGACTGTCTCAAAATAAAAAACAAAAAAGGACTAGGGATGTAGCTCAGTGGTAAAGTACCCCCGAGTTCAGTCCTTAGTACCAGGGGCAGTAGTATCAGAGATCAACCAAGCCATAGTAGGATAGTCTCTCTCCCCCACCCTCTTTTTTAAATTATTCCTTCATGGAGTTACCCCACAACAATCTGCCTCACTCACTCAGTTACCACTGCCGCGGTCCTGGTTCATACTTTCAGCATTTCTCATCTCATCTCATTCTTATGCCCTAACCTCCTAACCAGACTCCCAATCTCCAACCTTTCTCTTTCCAAAGCTATGTTCCCCACTTTGCCTGAGGAGCATCAAAACAAAATTGACCTTATCACTCCCACACATAAACTTCAGATCATGTCACTTCTGAACTCACAAGCTTCCCGATGGCTTCCATCCTACTCAGAGTGAAAGTCATTTCTTATGAAGGTCTGAAATCCCCAAGCGACCTGGCATCCTGTAATGTCTCTCATAATCATCTTTCACTCTTCTCCAGCCAACTGGCCTCCAACAGTTCCTGAGCAGTAAAATATGGTCCCATCCACGTCTGATGTTGCCTCTGCTTGGTATGCTTCACCCAGATATATTACTTGCTGCCTCACTACCTTCAAGCCTTTCCTGAAATATCTCCTTCCCAGGAAGGCTTTCTCTCCACAGCCTTTAACCCCCTTCTTAAAAACTGATCTAAAAGGGGCTAGGGTTGTGGCTCAGTAGTCTAGCCTTTGCCTCACATGTGTGAGGCACTGGGTTCAATTCGAAGCACAGCAACAAAAGAATAAAAGGTTCATCAACATCTAAAAAAAAATACTTTAAAAAACTGATATACAAGGGGGCTGGGGTGATGGCTCAGTGGTAGAGCGCTTGCCTAGCATGAGTGAGGCACTAGGTTCAATTCTCAGCACCACATATAAATAAAGTTCTATTAACAACTAAAAAAGTAAGTTTGAAAAACTGATATACAATCCACATACCCTAAAATTCCCCTTTAAAGTATACAGTTCAGTGGTTTATTGCTTTTATTTAAAATTTGTTTGCCTTTTCTTTTTATTGCCCTTCTGAAAGGTAAGCTACATGAGAAGTGTTTGCTGAATTCACTACAGTAACCCCCGCAGCCCTACCTCTGCCTGCACATAGTGGATGCTTACTAAACGCGCAATCTGACTAAGCCTTCCCCAGAAAATGGAGACCTTTCCTAGCTCCGTGGTACTGAACGTATTTTCTCCTTGCGAAAACCGCTCAGAATGTTTTAAGCCCAGAAGCACCCACCCTCCGACCTTCCACAGCGCGGCGGGCGCTCTGAAATTTCCCAGTTTATCGAAGTTTCTGCGGGTTCGAAGTCCCCGCCAAGCCGCGACAGCCTTCCGTTTGAACCCAACCCCGCGCCCTTACCGCACGACAGGTCACGGGCCACGGCTCCGAGCTCCACGTGCCCGCCCTCCGGAGACCCACGCGGATGCCGGACCGCGGGCACCGCGCGCGGACAGGTTCCCGGCATCGCTCTCAATGCGTTCCGAGGAAAAATGGCGCTGATTCCGCTCGCAGCGGCTCCCACCCCGCCTCTTCCGGCGACCCGAAAGCTGGGCTTCAACTCGAGGAAGAGAGTGCAGAAAACAGGCAGCGCCACCGACGGTCTGGAGTAGAGCCCAAAGGCGTCCGCTCCGCAGAGAACGTCGCAACTTTCCGCCTGAGGCTCTGGGGCCAGGCCTTGGTGGCATTTCCTGATACTCTCGGCTAAGACAGACCCTCAGGGGTGCCCTTCCCGCAGCACCCTGCCCCACAGGCAAACAACTGCCAGCTCCACGGTATTTCATAAAAACACGCCACACGTTGGGAGGTTTTAATTCATTTTTATAAAATCCGAGCTGGCTGACATTCAGGGTACAGCAGCAGCTCAGGGAAGAGTGGGATTATCTGCTGGTCCCCGTCTCCCCACGTCGGGGAGAAGGAGGTTTCAAGCCAACAGCTGCAATTCCTCTCAGTTCCCAGTCAATGCTCAAGGCTCAAGCACGGGGGAGGGGTTGGGCATGGAGGGAAAGGGAAGCTCCTGAGGCTCACACACTGCTTGCTTCTCCTTCTCCCCATTCCCTTCTCTTCCCAGCAGAGCCTAGCTACCTGGCTGGCCTGGGGCAGGGCAGAGGCCCAGGAGCAGTCGGAGGGAGGTGGAGAGGAACAGAGCACCAAGGGGAAGGGGCCCTTGGCCCAAGGGGGGGCAGGGAACTGGCCCTCCCCATTAGAGCTCCCCCACTGAATTCACAGCACAAAACACCTCTAGTCCAACAACTCCACATGGAGGTATACTGAGTCCAGGGTCCAAAGGGGCAGGCAGGTGAGATGGGAAGGGGCAGTGAAGACAACAGCAGGCTCAGGAGGGAAGGCGGCAGAAGGCAGAAACTTCCTCCTACCCATGGGAGGAGACGATGGGGCGACTGATATTGCTGTTGGTGGTCATGGCATTCAGCTCCCACCTGGAAGGCCAGAAAGGACAGAAGAGGGAGCCCCCCCACCTAGAATTCCTCACCCAAAACCATGAACACACAAGTCCCTCCAAGCTAATAAAGCTCAATTCCCTACAGCCACCTCTTCCTTACAACCAAGTGAGGTTTAATCATCACACCCCAACCAGGAGCAAATCCAATTCCACCCACTCCACCTCTAAGCTCTATGGATTTCCTGTTTATGTTTATATATGCATATTTACATTTATGTATATATTTTCATTCCTGAGTCCAAACACCTGGGATCTGTGTGTTCATCTCAATAAACATCCCAACCTACTTTTCCTGCTCTGGTCAGATTTAACCTGGCAGCCTGTCTACCTCAACCCCACCAGGAACATCTACTTTTGCTGTCAACTTCCATCCTTTTAAGGCCCAGAGTAGGGTCTCCTATTCTTCCTGAGGCCTTCTCCATCCATCCCACCATATTAAAATTAAATTTCTCTACAACAATTTTTCCATTCTACAAAGATTTACCAAGTAGCTACTAGGCCAACACAATGAACAATCTATTTGGTGTTAGGTACATGTATCAATCTTTAGCCAGTATGGGATCCATCAGTTCAGACAAGTATCACCAAATTCTTAACACAAAAACCCTCAACAAGTAAGAATTAAAGTGAACTGACATAAAGGATAGTGGTTCAGAATAAACCAGAAGGGCAAAATGATTCACAAAGTAACTTGGTGCTTAATCTGATCCTAAGAATGGAATTCAAAGGCAAGAAGCCAGGAGTTCCCTTAATTCTGAAACTAAGGTTAGAGGCTTCTAAACTTGCCTTTACTTTGCATGTAGGGTCTAAGACTTAATAGCTGTTATCAGCATGTTAACAAAAACTATATAAGTTCAGGTATCAGGAAGCAATGCTTCTGAGTGTGGTTCAAAAAACTAGACTGGGGGGAGGGGGCAAAACTGGAAACTGAACCCAGGGCCTCCTGCCCAGGCTGATCTCAAATGTGGCAATCCTCTTGCTTTGGTCCCTAAGTACCTGAGATCATAGGCACGTGCCACTCACTGCACCCAGCTGCATTTTTCTTTTCTCCACATAATTGACCCACCTGACAGGTGACTGACTATACACCTTCGCCTCCTTCCACCTATTCCTCATATGAACACTAAGTCCCTAGCACAACCAAAAAAAAAAATCTGTCTCTTCCATACTGAAACTAATCAGGTCACACCTGTGCTGCACACTCACCCTCAACCAATCCCTCCTTTGTAACCACTTGCTGTACCTGATGTCATGGGGCAAACAGGACTGGTCCAGATTATACTGAATCACCGCGAGTTTGCACAGAGTCTTCAGACTAGGGCCTTTAAAGAAGGAGTTGGGGTAGGGAAATGGTCAAAGTTGAGAAAAATTGCAGTCCTGGACATTACCACACAAAGACAGGGACCCTGATGGCAGGAGCAGTTCAGAAATAACTTACTAAAGTCCAAAATGTGTAAATCAGAGTGATCTATGAGGTCAAATTCATCTCCCAGGCCTTCCTCGGGAGACGGGCTAAAGGGATCAAGAGAAATGAAGGTCAGAGGAAACACAACCCACAAGACCCTCTTACTCAAATACCTCCCACTGTTAGTCACAGACTTAGGGCCATTCCTAAGCCTTCCCCTCTGCTCCTAACCTGGTACCCCCAAAGAGGACAATCTTGTCACCAACAATGCAGCAGCACTGGCGCCGGCGGGGACATGGCCCCTTCCCCTTCGGTTCAATTTTTTTCCAGGTAAAAGATACTAAAAGAGAAGTTAATGTATAAATTCAGTACCTGTCCTGTCCAAATGTCTTCACCCCTCCAGCCCCTCACCTACTCAGGATTATTTTTCTTTTCCTCCCACCTCAATTACTCCTTGTGCCTCCCCTAAAGGCAGTGCTTTTTTACCAGGGTTAAACTTCCAGAGATCATGGAAGTGCCGGTTCAGCCTTGCATTATAGCCACCAAAGATGTACAGCTCTCCATTGTAGCCAACTGGAAAAACAGCAAAATGTTAAGAGTGTGAGGTCTGACAGGGGACTCCACAAGCAAGTAACACACTCACAGGCTGAGTGGCTCCGGCGTCCCTCAGGCAGCACTGGAGTGGGTGGGCAGTCCAGCCAGGCCTCAGTTCTGGTGTCAAAGACGCGAATACGGTTGCAGTAAATCTCATTGTTAGAATGGAATGGCCCAAAGCGGTCAGCACGGCCTCCAAAGACATACATGTGATTGCCCAGCATTGTGGCTGAGTGGAAGTCCCTCCAGCGTGCAGGATTGCCCTGAACAGGTGGCAGAGAGATGGGGGAGAACTTCAGCACAGACACTGGAAAGAGATCTGTTCAATTTGAGTTTTCTATGATTTCTATGAAGGGGGGGATCCAGGGGAAAGAAAGGCTGACCTTTGTACAAACAAGGGTCCATGTCATGGTGCTGGTATCCAGCTTATGAATGTCATTGGAAAAGCAGTCCGCCTGAGAGGGAAGAGAAAGGAAAGAACAGAGAGGGCCAGTGGTCACTCTCTGACTTTCTACTCCTTCCCTCAAAACTTGCTAACAAGTCAAAAAAGCCTCCAATTCCACTTTGCTAAATCCCCCTTCCTCTTTCTCATTTCCACACTAACCCCCTAGCTTCCTCCCAGACTTACCAACTGCTCGTAGCCCCCAAAAATATACATGATCTTGCCCAGGACACAAGCTGAATGTCCATCCCGGGCACCAGGAACCGTTCCTGACACTCGGGGTGTGGACCATTTGTGAGTATCTGAAGGAGGTGAGAGAATGACAAAGGTCAGCAATCTCTGACACTCCCTCCTAAACTCAGGGGTGCCCTACTACCCAGTACCCCCAACCATACCTTTCCCATGCCCCTAAGGCACCATTTGGCAGAACACAGCTTCTCTCTGAGACCCATACTCACTGACATCAAAGGCATAGAGTACGTTGCAGGCCCCTTCGGTGTCATTCCGCCCGCCCCAAAGGAAGACTGTGTCATCGATGAGAACGGTTGAGTGTCCATACCGCATGTAAGGTACCACAGGAGCTTGCCCACGGATGGCAGGCCTCACTGGAGGCAGCTTTGTCCAACGCAAGGACACTGTGGGCACAGCTCTGCTCAGCCTGTTGTCCCTCCCTCCAGGACGTCCAATTTTTCTCAAACCAGACATTTATCCCCAGTCTCTTTGGGTACAGGGACCATCACCAAACCTCATCCAGTCACCTTTTCCCCTCCCTGATATGGGAACCTAGGGACAGT